AACTCTATGCTACCATAAGAAATATTCCAAAAATTGTTAATCTGGTTTATTTGGAAAACTTAAAAGATTAAATATTCTTCTAAGGACATATCTTAGGACCTACCAAAATTAGGGATTCTCCCCCTTGTTGCCAGGAATATCTATGCTGGAATTTTTTTGAGTGCAGAGTTAAAAATGATGGGATATCAGACAAAAGAATTTCACTCTTTTGAAATTCTTTATAACCTACCATATTTATAATATCCAGATATTACCTGCTTGGTGTTGTGTGGAAATTACATTAATACAATGATATCCCCCAATATACTACCAGATTAGCTATCTCCGAGGTCACAGAAAGGCTAACATAGCATGAGAAGCAAGGGAGGGGAAATTAACACACTTAAGGTACAAGTGGAGAGGAAAGATCCGTGATTTGAAACATGTGGTTACCCAACGCTCATATGTCCTGTCTCTCTTTTTGGCATATTAACCTTTCTGTAGATGGTGAGGTAATTAGGACTAGAGTTGATGTTTGATCAAGGGTTCAGAGATAGAAGGTGCCTAAGCCAATGACACTGGCACTATTAAAGAGATACAGGGCAGAGTGCTTAGGCACATCTGCAGCTTGCCACTTAACCTGATGAGCAGGTACAGGTTTTGCACTTTTGGAGCAGGTCATGTGGGACACAGCATAAGTGTCACCACGGGGCCATGGAATTAAGACTTGTGAATGTTGTGGGTTTCATGTATATTGAGTATGTCATGAGTATATTAGTGCTTACTGAATATTAGATGCCTCTCTTGTGTTTAGTGCCTCATTAATATTAGGCATCTTGTGGGATTTCCAAACTTTTCTACCGATGTTAAAAAGTATATGTCCTGCTGACTTTATCTGTCCACCATATAACATAGGTTATTAATTCATCTGCTTAACACCTGAGTGTTATTTCTTATACAATTTTTTTTCCAGGGTAGAGTTGAATATTCTCAAAATATACAATTCTGGACTGCAGAATTTGTATTGTGCCCATGGTAATAATGGGGGTGCTCACAGTACAAACTTCTTATGACTCTTTTATAACTTTTATCAAGGTAGAATTCATGGCACCATGGTAATATCCAAGCACAATTTTATGTTACTTGGAACACTGGTGGGAAAGTCTTACAAGAGATTTACAGACATTAGATGTTTTCCTCTGTCACTGCAGATATGTAGCCTAATTTTGGGAAGAAGCACATAGACTCTGAAAAGAGTAGAGAATAGAGGCTATTAATCAATCATATCTGCTTTCTATGATCCTTTTATAAATAAATCCTAAATCCTTTTATGGTGGTGTATTAGTTCCTACATGGGAGATTATCCCAAGGATCTCTTGTAAGTGGTCAACAATGAGTCTACTTGCACATTTGGTTTTCTGTAATATTTATACCTTACTTTTTTACAAGAACATGTTTATTTTAAAACCCATAATTTCTGACATACAACCATCATGCCAGTAGTTCTCAACCTTCACTCTGCATCAGAGCCACCTAGGAAGCTTCAAAAAATATTCTTGCTTGGGCTCTACTCTCAGAAATTGTTTTAATTATTCCAAGTTTCGGCCCAAGTATCCATATTCTCAATTATTCCCAGTTAATAAGCAGCATTAAATTAGAAGAACTATATTAGACATGGGCAATCTATCTAAACAATATGCTATGTGGTATTTTGGTGATAGAATAGATTCCATCCAGGGAAGAACCTTCTCTGTAATTCCTCTAGTATTTGTGTTAGAAGAATCTAGTGATGTTAAACCTCATCTTCAACAGACTTGGTGTTTTATATGGTAAGGACTATAACCAGATCCCTTGAACATTTTCTTTATGTGTCCTAATGTGAATACTTCCAGCTTGATCTCATTCTTTCTCAGCAAGTGTTCCAGAAGGGATTCTGTCTGGTTGGAGTTCTTACCAGATACTTTAGGGAAAATGATTAAGAAAGAGCTTCCTTGAGCTGAGAGAATTCCCAATAAGGAGATTTTACAGATCTAGCTGTGGGCTTTTCATACACAATGAAAAGAATTTACCAGTCAGCCTGATCTACTCTGCTCCTGGAACCTTAAAAGAATAGGAGTTCTCATTCGTATGTTATTACAACAGATTCCCACAAATTTAGTGTCTTGAAACAATACAGGTTTATTATCTTAAGAGTTCTGTAGGTTAGGAGTCCAACACAAATCTCACTGGCTAAAATGAAGATGGTAGCAGTGCTGTATTTCCTTCTGAAGCTCTTGGGGAGAATCCATTTCTGTGTCCTTTGCAGCTTCCAGAGACCACTTGAATTGCTGCCTCCTCCATCTTCAAATCCAGCAACGGTGGTTTGAGTCCTTCTCATATCCTATCATTCTGAACTTCTTCCACAGTAATATTTCCTTCTGATTCTGACTCTCTTGCCTTCCTCTTTCACTTTTAAGGACCCTTGTGATTACATTGGGTCCACCTGGATAATCCAGGATCATCTCCCTATTTTAAGGTCAGCTGATTAGTAACTTTAATTCCATCTGCATCTTTAATTCCCCCTTGCCATGTAACCTAATAAACATATTCACAGATTCCAGGGATTGGGGGGCAGGGGCATCACTGGGTGGCCTTTATTCTGCCTTCTATAGGTTGCTTAATTTATCTTTTGACCACAGGTCTTACTATCCATTTTAAAAAGCCCTCAGTAGGGTGGAGTGTGTATAGGGAGATCTGATAAAGATGTCAAAGCAACACACTTTCAGTTACAAGATAATTAAGTACTGGGGATGTAATTTACAACATGATGTCTATATTAACACTGCGATACAGTATATTTGAAAGTTGTTAAAAGAATAAATCTTGTTCTTGGTTTTTTTTTATTTTTTTCAATAGAAGTTCTCATAAGGGAAACACAACTTTTTCTCTTCTTTATATGAGATAATGGATATTAGCTAAATTAATTGTGGTAATCATTTCATAATATATATTAAGTTAAATCTCTAGACTGTACACCTTAAATTTATGTAGTACTGTATGTCACTTACACCTTAATAAAACTGGAAAAAAAAACAAATAAAAACTAATAAGAAGCCCCCAGTATATAGGAAATATTAGGAGGTACAGCAAAATAAGGTATGTGAGTAAAATCAGTTTCTTGTACTGGAAATCATATTTCCCTTTGATTAGAACTGAGCTTGACACATTAGTAACAAAAACCCTACGAATACTTAAATTAGTTTTATTGCCTCCTCACTAACCAGCCAACAAAATCTTTAAGCCCTCAGGAAAGGGGAAAATGGAATAACTCACAGTGGTAAGAAGTTTATCTATTCCAACCAGATCTAGAACTGCTTGTTCATGAGTCTTGCTGCTACCCTGGGAGATACAGAGAAACAAATGGTAGCGATTATCAGGGAGTGGAGGCTCTGTAAACCACTCCCTTCTGCCAGCAATTCTACCATTCTGGGAGCGGCAGGTTTTATGGTGCTATCTTATAGACTTGGCAAAATAAGTCAAAAGAATATGCATATTGCAAGCATGATTTCTACAAAGTCTGTAGCAGTTTATATTCCCACCAACAGTTTATAAGAGCCTGACCAATTTTATCTAAGGAGGTGTCTGACTAGCCAATTTTCATGAAAGCAGCAAAAAAGAATTTACTTAGATTAGCAATTGGCAACGTTCTTATGTTGCTTTGCTGTACAAAGGCACGTGGGTAGAACTGGAGGTATTGTGCATTCAGACTCCAAAATTCCTGCTAACTGGGGGTGGGAGGGGCCAAAGGAGGTTAGCTTTGAAAAGAGAAAAGAAGGAAAACAAGTCTTTTGAACGGATGGAGATTGAAAAGGAGATAAACCAAAGCAGATTTTCTCTAATTTGCCAGGTTGGATGACTTGCAGTGCCATCTTCTGGCAAAGAAGTAAAAAAACTTTCAATTTCCATGGCAGTAATAAAGTATTTCTTTTCTTTTCTTTCAAATTTCTTATAAGCATGGCTAAACCACAAATTGGGAGAACTCAGAGGGGTCTTGGGTGTTGGTGTATTACAGAGTATGAGGAGAGAAGGAAGCCTATTTCTTTGAAGCACGGATCCGAATCTTTGGCCTCTGAGGTCTCCGGCAAAATCTGTAAACTTTCCACCAGGCTACATACATCACATGTATAACAGGTACAACCTGGAGTGTTACTTACGTAGTAGACAAGCCACCATCCTCCTTGGCTTCAAGTTTGGATTCTCCAGCGTCTCAGACGTACTCTAGATAAGGCAACTTAGCCATAGTGCTACTCAGGACGACGATGGGCTTGATTCCTTACCGAGAAAAGAAAATCTGTTCCTGTCTTTGAAAGTCCTGCCCTAAAGAATAGTACTTCAACCACCTTTCAATGTACCGGCAAGTAATTTATACACACATTAGACGTAAATCTGTAGAAAACCACATTATAGCCTTTAAAAAAATTCAGGACTTAACAATACTTTCTTGCTGTAATCATCCAAGACATACTTGAAAAAAACTTGCTTTGTAAAGCAAAATTACTTTAAAACATGCGGTATCCCTAAGTAACAACCTTCACGTTAAAAAAAAAAGTGCTATTCTCTGTGTAGTATAATGTGGGACAAATTTATAATATGCTTTAATCAAAATCAGCTTCTATTCGTGAGTTCTAGCCCTCACCTCTGGCTTACTCTTTTCTTTCCCTCTCTTCTTTTCCTCCTCTTTTCATCTTCTCCCACCTGCTGTACCTTTGCGCCGCCCCGCCCCCGCCCCGCCGCCCCGCCCCGCCGCCCCGCCCCGCCGCCCCGCCCCGCCCCGCCGCACCGCCCCGCCGCACCGCCCCGCCGCCCCGCACCGCCCCGCGGCGCCACGCCTCTCCCCAACCCCCAAAGCGCGCCAGCTTCCGCGTGCTGACGTCACACGCCAGCGCCGGTGACGCGCTGGCCGCTCCCCCTTCCTCTGCATTCGCGCTGTGAGTTGGGGGCGCTAGGGTGCATAGTCGTCCGATCCGAGTCCTAAGCAGTTGTCCGCGTAGCCCCGAGTCCAGAACAAGCGTCGCGAAGCAGAAGGACGTGGCAGGCAGGTAGCCTCCCAGTCCCGAATGCCATCCTCCCACCCCCATCCCGCCGAGGCCACTAGCAACCACCTCTGTGAAGTTGCAGGGGTGGTAACCCAGGCACTCCCCCTGCCCCGCCCGCCGTTTCCAAGGGGCTCAGAAACCAGTTTGTTTTCTCTGAGTAGTGTGGACCTGTCTCATGGGGCGTTGCCGGAGGCGGCAAGGAGTCCAGCCTGAGGGGTCAAGCCAAAGTCTGGTGTCGGGTGTAGGAGCCTCGTTGCGCCCCTTCAAGTGGCCTGTGAGCTGCTGCAGGTTAGATAGTCTTGGTTTCTCTTTCAGGATGTCATTTTCAAAATGCGGGATGGTGCCTCTGACTCATTAACTGCCATAGGAAGGCTGCTACACCTAGACTGATGCTTGTCAATCGTCACCGTTATTCAGACTAACGCCCTCTGTCATTGAGGTGAGTTGCACTTGGAGGAAGCAATGATATGCAAAATAGTAAAATCGTATTGGAAATGAGGAGATCCTCCTTAGACTTGCTTATGTAGAGCTTGTAGGGATACTAACTTTAAGTGCATGGAAAATAATATCTTCATGTCATTAAAATGTTAATTCTCTAAAGAACAGCATGTAATACAAAGCAGTCCTTGGACATTAGTTAAAAAGGTATAGTGATAACTGAGTTAAAATAATAATAGAAATCTTGGTATGGATAAACAGTCATTTACATTGCATATATGTTGTCTCTGATTTTAAATTACATATGTATTTTAATAAGAAATGAGTAAGAATTAGCTGGTAGCCTATAATTTTACATTTCAATTTACATAGTTTGAAACAATTTCCATATGTAAGACATTAAAAGTTATACTACTTTCGGAGTTCATCATAACTTTTTTTATACAGGCCTAATTTTTATTCTCTAATGTAACCTCTGCCCCCAAGAAGCAGAAATTTTTTTATTGCCATGATAAGCAACAGCAGAAAAATTTATGAAGGATTAAAAGTAATATGCAATATAATAATAGTCTTTTCTTGTGATGCAGCAGTATTGTAGAGATGATGGAGGAGAGTCAAATATGGAGAGAAGTAGTGCTTTGTTTCTAGTTTAGACTTGTTTGATATTTGAGAGTCCACAGATCTATTTCATTTCAAATTGCTCTTTGTTCTAGGTGAAAGGTAAGGAGCATCTTTTGTGGAAAAACAGGTTTTTGCACAGTAAGAGTCAGCATTAGGAGTTTGGTAACGGTTATGGAACTTGGCCACAGGAGTTCTATTGAGGTAATTTTAATACATTGACATTGTATTCCTAGTACATTTTACTCCAGTCTCTACCTTCTAATCTAAGCTGTGGACATGACACCATTTCATGAATATAAATTCTTTATTTACATGTTGGTAGTTTCCATTAGGGAAGCTAATAATTGTCTGCATAGACTTATAGAGAAGAAAAACAAATGTTTTGATAAAAGCCTACCTAATGGAATCCCATTTTTGCTGTCTGCTTTTTTGAGTAAAAGGAAATAGGTCAGGGACTTGACTCACTGAGAAGGTAAATTGTCATTCTCCCACCTTTCAAAATGTTATTTAATATTTGGAAAACCATATGTATGGATTGTAGCTGCAGACAGAATTATAAGGACTTCTTGGAATCTGTTGATATTCCTCTACCAGTGTTTCCCCATTTCTGATGGGGAAATTTGTCCATCAGATTGCTAAAAAAGAGCTGAAGAGATTTAAAGTTCCAGATTGGTGGAGATAATAGTTTTCATTCATATACTCCGGCATTTTTCATATTTGGTGCACAAATGTCATTTTGTCAATCATTACTTATTGTGGCTTAAAGAAATTCTTTTTTTTGTTTGTTTGTTTTTTTGTTTTTTACAAATAGTTTATTGTCAAGTTAGTTTCCACATAACACTCAGTGCTCATCCCCACAAGTGTCCTCCTCCATGCCCCTCCCCCCCTCCCCCCCACATCCATCAGTCCTCAGTTTTTGTCAACATTCAAGAGTCTCTCATGGTTTGCCTCTCTCCCTTTCCCCCACCATTTCCCCCCTTCTTCTCCCCCTTGTTCCTCCGTCAAGTTCCTCCTAATCCTCTTATACGTGCAAACATATGATATTTGTCCTTTGGCTTAAAGAAATTCTTAGTTAAATGTGAGAAAAGATGTCTAATTTGAGGAGAGGCTAAGATGCTTTTTTTGGAGCAGAGTTGACATCCTTGAAAAGTTTGCATATAGGAGAACTTTTAATTTCAGGGTTAAAAGTTTGGAAATGGGTAACTTGAAGGATTTTAACTGGAGAAATTGATTCAGCTAGCATTCTTCTTTCAGCATTTAGTATTGTTTCTAAATTTTATTTTCTTTTATTGTTTTGAATAATTATTCATATGGTTTAAAATTCAGAAAGTATAATAGATTGAAAAAATCTTAATTACTCAGTTCCATTTCCTGAAGGTAGCCAATAGTATATCAGTTCATTGTGTATCCTTTCAGAGGTATCACACATACAAGGAATTATGCGTGTGTATACTTCTAAGGATTATATATATATAATATATATACTTACACGTATAAATAAGAGAGAGAGAGAGAGAGGGAGGGGGGAGAGAGAGAGAGAGAGAGAGGGAGAGAGAATCTCAAGCAGGATTTGCACTGTCAGTGCATAGCCTCACCCAGGGCTTGATCTCATGAACTGTGAGATCATGATCTGAACCAAATGAAGAGTTGGATGCCTAACCCACTGAGCCACCCAGGTACCCCTTAAAATGCATCTTGATATCAAGTAAAAAAGTCTTCATTGGTCTTTTTTGTTTTGTTTTCAGTATTTTTCTGGCTAGTCTTGCTTTTTTCTCATATTGACTTCAAATCAGCTTGTCACCCATAAAGCTTGTATTTTTATTAGAGCAGAATTAAATGTAGAGACTGAGAATTAAAATCTTTCTGATATTGGGGCACCTGAGGGGCTCAGTTGGTTAAACATCTAACTTCGGCTCAGGTCATGATCTCACAGTTCATGAGTTCAAGCCCTGCGTGAGGCTCTCCGCTGTTAGCACAGAGCCTGATTTGGATCCTCTGTCTCTCCCCCCCGCCCCTCCCCTGCTCATTCTCTCTCTCTGTCTCTCTCACAACATTAAAAAAAAAAAATCTTTTTGCTATTAAATCTTTCTCCATATTTTTCTTTTATGTGTGTATGTGTTCTTTTTTCCTTTTTTTTTTTTTGAGTTTTATTTATGTTGAGAGAGAGAGAGATAGTGGGGGGGGGGGCAGCGCTCAGACAGAGGGAGAAAGAGGGAGAGAGAGGATCCCAAGCATGCTCCTTGCTGTTATCACAGAGCCCAACGTGGGGCTCAGAGCTCACAAACTGCGAGATCATGACCTGAGCTGAAATCAAGAGTCAGACACTTAACCAGCTGAGCCTCCCAAGTCCTCTTGAATATTTTCTGTAGGTTCATTTTCCAAGTTAAAAATCCTGTCTTCTACTATATCCTATTCTGTGTAAAGCCATGCGATGCCTTCTTAATTTTAGATATCTTGTATTTTAGTTCTGGAATGTTCATTTAATTTTTAAAAATAAATTTCAGTTCTTTGTTGAAATTCTCTGTCTTAAAAAAATCACTTTTGTTCATCTTTTCCTCTTATTTTCTTGAACATACTATTCATGGTTATTTAAAATCCTCTATGATATGTCTATATTTGAGTCATTTGTGATTTATTTCTGTTGTTTATTTCTTTTGGTTTTGGTTATTTGGTTTTTTCTTTTACAGGCCTCATAATTTTTAAAAAATATTTGTTTATTTTGAGAGAGAGAGAGCAGGAGTGAGTGTGGGGAGGTACAGAGAAAGAGGGAGAGAGAGAATACCAAGCAGGCTCTTCACTGTCAGCACAGAGCCCAACTAAGGACTCTGTCCCACCATTGTGAAATGATGACATGAGCCAAAATCAAGAGTTGGACGCTAACACAACTGAGCTTTCCAGGTGCCCCTAATTCCTTCCTTCCTTCCTTCCTTCCTTCCTTCCTTCCTTCCTTCCTTCTCTCCTTTTCTTTCTTTTCTTTTCTTTTCTTTTCTTTTCTTTTCTTTTCTTTTCTTTTCTTTCTTTCTTTCTTTCTCTCTTTCTCTCTTTCTCTCTTTCTCTCTTTCTTTTTCTTTCTTTCTTTCTTCACAAGTGGGGGAGAGGGGCAGAGAGAAAGGGAGGGAGAATCTCGCCTGATGCGAAGCTCCATCCTACAACCCTGGGATCATGAACTGAGCTGAAATCAAGAGTCAGCTGCTCAACTGACTAAACCACATAGGTGTCCCACACCTCATAATTTTGGACTGGATGCTGGATGTTGTGAATAAAAAGTCATAGAGGCTCTGGAACATGTATCTTCCAAAAAATTGTTATGTTTTCTGGCAGGGTGGTGGGAGTATTAGCAGATTACTTTCTTTTATCCTATCAAAGATTGGTGTTAGGCTTTATTAGGACTAGTCTGTTTTAGTCTTGCTCTGGGTATGCACAACTTAGGAATGGGCTAACTGACAGGAGGGGAATTTATGTGCAGAATTTGGGGCTTTTTCTGTTCTTTTTCCTTCTCTCTAGGATTTTGGCAGCCTTAAAGTCTGACCTCTCTTTAGCTCAATAGGATTGGTGCTTTCTACTTAAGCTCCATGGTGCTACGTCACAATTTGGAAACTGTCTTTAGGGAGAAGGCTGGTGTAAATGTGGAATTTATTAGTATTTTCTTACCTCTCAATGATTATAGCCCCTCAATTCCTGTCTGTTGTTTTATATATTTTACTAAGTGTTTTGATTGTTTTTGGAGGTAGGATGGTCTGATAAGAGCTATAGAATCATGGCTGGAACCATTTATTATGTAGACCTTCACTTAACCTCCCAGATCAATGTGGTGCCATTCTCAGCTGTGTTGGTATCCCTAATCTAGAGACATCTCTAGTCTTTTGCCAACATGAGAGATTGGTGGACACCTGACTAGGTGTGGTAGAGGAAGCAAACTGTGTGTCTAATGCTGTAACACCGTCTTTCAACCAATCCTGTTTTAGTTCTGGTATTCCTCACTCACAGAGGCGCCTTTTTCTTCCTATTATTGAACTAATGTGTAGTGGGAATTGACTTATTTCCCACTGCTGGGTTACAATACAATTTTCTCTAATTTCCTGAGTCAGCTGCTGCTTGCTCTTGTGTTTGTCAGCTTCCAGAAATTTATTGCTGTTGCTTTCTCTCCTGTTCTACCTTTTTCATCCCTTAAAGTTGTGCTAGGTCTGGGAAAGAAGTCAAGTATGTTCCGTTTGATATGTTGAACTCTAAATTGCAATTTGTTTTCTGGCTTTTTAAAGATACAGGCTGAGAAATTACTCTTGTGTTTTTTGATTTCTCTGAAGGAAAGGCTTTGGCTGCATTTCTCTGTCATTCCTACTCACAGTGGCTAGTGGTACAATTCTAAACAATGTTGAAGTTTACTCTTTTGTGACCTACTTTTTTATTTTTTCCTCTTTGAATCATTAAAGTTGGTAGGGCCTGTAAGGTAGTATTATCTTTAAATTATTAGTGTTTTTATTTTTTTTTAATTTTTAAAAAATTGTTAAAATTTTTTTTTTATTTTGAGAGAAACAGAGACAGACAGCAAGTGGGGGAGGGCAGAGAGAGGAAGACAAAGGATCTGGAGCAGGCTCCAGGCTCTGAACTGTCAGCACAGAGCCCGACGCGGGGCTTGAACCCACAGACTGTGAGATCATGACCTGAGCCGAAGTCAGATACTTAACTGACTGATCCACTCAGGCGCCCTGTAAGTTTTTTTTTTTTTTTTTTAATGTTTATTTATTTTTGAGAGAGAGGGAGACAGAGTGCAAGAGGGAGAGGGGCAGAGAAAGGGGGAGACACAGAATCCAAAGCAGGCTCCAGGTTCTGAGGGGTCAGCACAGAGCCTGACGTGGGGCTCAAACTCATGAGCTGTGAGATCATGACCTCAACCGAAGTTGGACACTCAACCAACTGGGCCACCTAGGTGCCCTAAATTGTTAGTGTTTTTTGATGAAGGAAACAAGGCACAGAGAAGTCAGGTGGTTTGGTTTTGGTCACGTAGTTTTTCCAAATCCATCGTTTTATTTGTTATATCACATAACTCTTTGGAAAGCTCAAATACCAAAAACGTCTTTGAATTTGTGTCTTAAATATCTTTAATATCAGATACATATTATAGAGATTAAATTGATGTAATTACTAGAGACTTTAGGAATAGTGTCAAGTTGGTTTTGTGATTTTCATTTGATATTGGAAGCTTAAGCACAGAAAGGACACACATTTGTAATTTCAGTTTTTTTTTTTTTTAAATATTTTTATTTATTTCTAGGAGAGAGAGACAGTGTGAGCAGGGGAGGGTCAAAGAGAGAGGGAGACACAGACTCTGAAATAGGCTCCAGGCTCTGAGCTGGCAGTCAGCACAGAGCCCGACGCGGGGCTCGAACCCACGAACCGCGAGATCATGACCTAAGCGCAAGTCGGACGCTCAACCGACTAAGCCACCCAGGTGCCCCTGTAATTTCAGTTTATTACAGATATGAAATTAGAACAGGATTATGATGGTCCTTCTGTTATACATTATGATGTTTTGGATGTGTAAGCCTATAATATATTTTTTCACTATTTTTCATTTGGCTTGAAAAAGTTTTTAGGATTATAATGCAGCTAAGAAGTCTCATGACTAGTAAATAAGTAGCTTGGTTAAATATATTGTAAGGCACTGAAAGTACTCTGTCTTTTCATGTTTCCCCCTTTACTTCCTCCAGTATACAACAGGAGTCTAGTTTAGACTCTGCAGAAAAGGAGGAGTTGTGAGTTGCTCTGAAATCCATTGACCACAAGCCTTTCATTGTTCAGAAGGCTTTCTGCACTTGGCATTATTTGCTGGGAATTAGAATCATCATTTTTCACTACCAGAAGCAGTAGATTCTCCTATGCTGAATTGTCAGAACCACAGTGCTCAGGAATGTGGTAGGCAATAGAGTGTGGTATTAGGGATTTTTGGAACTTCTGTGTCATCAGTGTGGTCCCTGGAAAGGAATTGGCAACTGAATTTTGAGGCAGAGCCAAACTGACTAAATTTGTTTGTCTGTCTTGGCAGCAGTCACAGACTAATGATGGTTGTGAAATAATCTCATTATATGGTTATTATTTAATGTAATTTGATTTGTGAAATTTAGTTTTGTAAGAGGAGTTTATCTTGCTACTTTTTCCTAAATAGAATGGTAATATAATATATTCATGTCCAGGAGAAATCATTAAATTCTGGCTGGTGCCCAGATAGCCATTATATTATGCCAGTTGACCATCTTGGACTTGAGAGTATGTTTGGAGTGACTTCTTTAACTCACTGATGATGCTATATTGCTATTGTATATTTTCCTGTTTTACTTAAAGTTGCTAAAAGCCTTGTCATATCTTAGAGAAATTTTGAAATGTAATATGGTTGTAATGTTTTCTAAGGTAGAAGAAGGCTCTTTCCCACAGAAGTTCCTAAGGTATAATTATCCCATTGATTTTTACCAGAGGCTGGGCTCTGTACTCTAGTCTTACAGGTCCTGAATATAAATTTTGTCTTTTAAGGAGATTGGATCATATTTTAGAGGCAAAGTAAAATTAAACAAGTTTACTATTGATGGATGAAATGAGAATATGGATTTGTTAATTTATAATGAGAAATATGGTAAAGTGTCACAGAAGTACTTATGTGGTCTTCATGACAAGCCCATTTTCTCCTAAAAGGGAATCCTACATTAAAGTCCTGCTTGATGTCAACAGACATAGAAAAGAACACGTTAGATAAATTAATATTTATTAGTTTTAAATTAATAAAGTGAATTAATTTACTATAATTTTGGGTAATCTTGCCAATATTACTTGTGCTAATGATTGATTGTGACCATTTCAGAAACTCTCTTTCCCTCCTCCTTTCCTTTGATTTTTTAAAAAATATTTTATTTATTTCTAGGAGAGAGAGAGAGAGAGACAGCGTGAGCAGGGGAGGGTCAGAGAGAGAGGGAGTCACAGACTGAAACAGGCTCCAGGCTCTGAGCTGGCAGTCAGCACAGAGCCCGATGCGGGGCTCGAACCCACGAACCGCGAGATCATGACCTAAGCGAAAGTCGGATGCTTAACCAACTAAGCCACCCAGGCACCCCTTTCCTTTGATTTTTTTTAAGCTTTCACCAACTAGCATTTGAACTCTGACCTCTGTCCTGCCCATCACTTTTCCTGAAATTACTATTGCTAAAGTTACTAATGAACCTAATCAAATATCTTTGTATGGTAAGGGTCTAATTATGATACGAAAGGCAGAAATAGGCAGATTAAAAACATGTTTAATTAATATCAAAATAGTATAAAAATACATTTTTATATGTAAATAAAATAGAAAGGCAGGTAGCATATAAGGAAAAAATATGACAGAGAGAGCTAACATCTTCTTTATTCATTCATTTATGTATTTATTTATTTTAA